ACACTAGAATTAAAGTGTTTCTCCATTGTTTATTTCAGTAAGTTAAAATGGTTTGAATTAATTTCTCACATCAGTAGTTTTAAAACAATACTAAAAGCTAAACAACTAGAATTCACTACCTTGACAAAACATCCGAAACAATTGTCACTATCCGAAAATAAACTAGTTTTATTAAACTCTATAAATCCCTCGTTTTTCCGTCAGATAATTGACCTACCTGCATTTTTTGACCCGTGCTATCCATTCCTTCAAATCTGAAGAGGACCGAAACAAAGTTAACTTCTATATCCCTCGAGTTCTTCGGTTTACCTATATGCGTAACGGTAAATAAGTCTGCCGATGTACCCGGAAGTGGTAAATCGAAAGTGAAAGTAAACGAGACTTACGGGCCCTATTACAGGCTAATTTTATTAATCCTGAAACAATATCTTTATCTTTGATTTTTAATAACACTTTGTAAATGTTTAATTAAAAGGTTTGTGAAACATATACAATTCTGAAACAAAATTCATGGTAGGCATTGTTGTTAAACCTTTTTATAACAAATTACTGCTGGCTTTGTCCAATAAGTTCGACCATTACAATTACGGACAAAAAATCTGGAGACAAATGCTTTCAATATCTGTTAAACTATGCCAATTTTCTTTTGATAAAGGAAGCAATACGTGTATAATGATAGTCATGCTTACATTAAGCCTAACTTATTAAACATATTAGAAACAGGATATGTAGGTACAATTGTACCATTATTATATGACGCTCAACAGGCTCTTGAATATGATATGTTAAACAAGAATTATTCATATGTTTACCCACATGCTCACTCGTGTGACCTCTGCTTTCAAAGAGAAATAAACAGGCTTAACTTATTTGTTTAACTCTTAAGCTGCTGGAGCCGATATTGATCAGCCTTTAATAAGCCTTTCCACACATATTTCGTGCGGCCTGACATGCTCCGTGGGAATAATTATTACTGTGCTTTTTATGACAAAGTATTTTCATGTATAAATACAAAACTTTGTTATTTATGTTATTATAAGCTTTGATCCTTAAGCTTAAGAAAGATATAGATAAATTGGCGTTGTTGTGTTTATAATTGTAATTAAACAGTCACTTTGAAGAACTGATCATTTCAATGTTGAAAAAGGTTATTATAGACTGAATTGAAATTCTGCCGAATTGGCAATCTATGTGAATTTCGAACAGGTTTTTCCACCGATTGTTGGGCCCCAGATTTTCAGTTGGACCAACATACACCAAAAGAAGTAAATAAATTAAATAATTAAGTTTTCATATATAAAAAAAACATATGCACAGTTAGATTTACCCGATCTCAAGCAAATAGACATAAACTCATAATGATAACAAAGAGACAATTTTAATATATATCTTTAGTTCTTTTGAAAACATGTATGCATATTGTATAATCAATATATGTGATGATAATGATAGTGATCATGCATTTTCTGGCATTCACAATATTCATGTTGCAGAAATAAACTCTTATTGTATCTTATTTTTATATTTATATTTTAGGTCGGTACTCTTGTTTGCATAACGGAAATTAATACAATATCAACCATTTCAAAAAAAAATGTTCTCGTCCTAAACAAGAACACACTCACATGGTGAATCTGACGTCATTATCGCGCGTATGCAGTACACATCACCCTGTAAAACATCACCGGTATTAGCATATTAAGCAGATGGATCAGAATATAATGACATGTTTAGGTATAATAAAAATATCGTTAAAACATGTCTTCAGAGTTAAACAATCAGCTCTTTTCTTAGATTGATTGAATAAAGATGATATCTTTCCTAGAAATTAACATTTTCAGATAATCAAAAACAGGTTGTTACAGTAGCACAATGAAGAATTAATTTACAATTAATACATAATATCAAAAAATAATAAATAAAACAAAATACCATTTTATTGTTTACTATTTGATGAAAACAGCAAGTGGTAACTTTGACTAATAAATGATGCACTTATACTTTGTGTACGTTCTGAGATATAAATCAAATATCTATTATAACTCTTTCAGGTGTGTCATAAGAAGTAGTGTGTTCTCTAAATCTTACATGTGATACAATTGCAATACTTTACAAAGCGGTAACCAAGCATTTTTTCTATAAGCTGTTGGTTAGGTGTTTCTGTTTGCAAAGATCATCCGACAGCAGTAGGAACATACAGGGAACATCATGGACATGCTGTTGATAATGAAACAATGTATTTTCTTAGGGGTGTAGCTCAATGGCAGCATAGCATACACATGAACAAGTTGCTGTCATTTACGGTCCCTTGGGTATATAATACAAGGCAATACAAATAAGAATATACATTGACTTATAAAAGCAACCATTTGATTAAATATGATCGTATTTCATGTTTTTTTAAGATATATTTTGTATGTTATAAGCAATTTCGCAAGGTGAATTGACATACTTAACAGAAGAACCACATACGCTTTCCATCCCTTACGTGGATAAGTACATGCACAAAACCTATAGACATATTTACCGGCTACTTTTGGCACATTTGTGCGCGAATTTGATATGAAAAGCATGCTATTTTGATGATGAGCACAAGAATATTGTCAACAAAAGTAAGTTTCATCTTAATATATATCAGCTTGTTTCGTTGGAAAAACATTTTAAATGTAATATTATACATCTTTAATTACATTTAATCAAAGATGTTTCTTTTTCAATCCCTTAAGATCGTTTAGCACGACATTTTTGTTGTGAGTGCATGCCTTGGTATTTTAAGTTCTTTCCAATTTAGTGTTTATTCTTACAGCCCTTATCCTTTTATTCCAATATGGGCCCGTTTTAACCTTTTTTTATTTCACACATTACGTGTCACTCTCCTTTTGCCGCCCTAATGTCCACTCACGGTTTGGTCTTGTGCCTTCTGTGTGCCCTATGTGGGTACTGCGTCCTGTGAACATTGCTTTTGCATTGTTGATCTTTATTTTAGTTTTTTCTTGTCATGTGGTTCTAGTATTTCTTAATTGAATAGTGTTTAATCACATTATACATGCTTTTTTAAATTCCATTGTGTTTATATCCGCCAATTGTTTTCTCGTTTAGGGCACTGACGCACATGCATTGTATTACTTTGGGGAACATATGCCGCTTTTCATTTAATGACACTAACGTGTCATATTAAAGGTCCCATGACAACCACCATATGAACGTATCTGCGGTTGTTTCAAACTTTTCTTAGTACATGTTTAAGGCTGAATTCTACTTAAGCCGGTGCAGGCGTGAATGATAACGTGAAATTACAACTACCGTCCTGTAATAATTTCGCCGCGTTAACCTTTATTTTGGGATTATGTTTTTACTAATTGGTATCAAAAGAATGAATGTTTTATAGGTGGAACAAGATTAGCAAGTGACAGTTGTTTTACGTATATATTGCTGTCCAAAACACGGCGGGCGAACAGACGGTCATGTCGCCCACACTGGAAATGTATTTCGACATCACTATGCTGAGCAACATGATGCAGCTACTGATGAAGGAAGGTGTTTGTCCTTAGCAATTGCTCTGTGGATTTATAATTGCGGATCTAGTAGTAATCATCAAATAACTTGTATATAGACCTACTGGTATGTTTTCATTCTAAATAAAATATTAAAATGTTCACAATAGTAAAACAGTTAGTCTGTCATCATTTTGTAAAATATACAATATTCTGCAAACTATATAAATTATGATTAAGATCGTTCAATATTAAGATTGTTTGTTTGATTTTCTGTTTCAAGCCAATTTTAAAACATTATTTTCTCATACTCCGGCGGCCGATCCGCCTCACGTGCTTTCTTTGACAACTTACCAATTCCTACAAAGGGGAGTGACCGACTACTAATCCTACATGATTTCTGAATAAGTGGCGAGAGACAAATGATAAAAAAGACTCAATGTTCGAGGTTATTTGTCACGGAGAAATTTCGGCTTGCCTGAGGATCGTATCAGCGACTCTTGATCACTACTAATAATCCAATTCGCTAAAGAGCACTACTTAGAAAAGCACACAGACTTTATTAACATGAGAAAAGCTTTATTGGCAATACTGGATACTAATGTGTTGCAGATAACGTAATACATCTTACTTGTTGTCTTCATCATCATATCATTAAAGCACTTTGCTAATTTACTTATTAATATCAAATAATACATTTCTACATATAAAGGGGTGCAATTCGTACAGCTGGTTCGGGTTGCTGAATAGAAGTTCAGCACTGTCCAAAATTTCCCGACATACAACCTATGTTGTATGATGCATGGGGTTCTGCAAATTATCATACAGGTAAAATCGGAATAAATAACAAAAATGCTGTGTCAGTGGGTATTTATTGTAATGGCATTAAACCGAATGCATGTATACGTTGCATTGTTAAATTAATAATGTTTAATTTTTTTGCCACAACTTGCGACAAGTATCAAAATCCTAGCAGATTAATCCCTTCTCTTGTTTTTGTTGTTGTTTCATTATCTCATAGCAGTAGTTTAGCTTTATCATTTAATTTTGAGTATCTTTTTTTTCTCCAAACATTCACATTATTTTTTTGTCTTGCATGTTCTAGAAATCATTAGTTTCTGGACTATTTTATTGTTTACAGAACTAATGAGAAAATAACAAAGAATGGCAACAACATGTTCTTGTAGTAAGATTTCTTAAAATACAAAACTCTTTGGTACATTAAATGCACACACAATAGAATTTTGTTACCCTTATTATATGCAAAACAAATAACATTCAATTAAAAATGACCATGTAAGCAGAACTGTATTGTAGAATAAGATATAACCTTAAAAACTTTTTATGTTATAATCATTTACAAATTTAATTTTATAGTTGATAAAATCGATTGACTACAATAGATAGCTATATACAAAAATTTGAAACATTTATTACATGAAAAAATCGTTTTGGTTTTTGATATATACAAAGCTAAAATTTTCAACATACATACATACATACATACATACATTTTTATCAAAACTTTTATGTAATAACATAAGAAACTAAACAACGTTAAAATTATAATGAAATACTAAATCCATGACTGACTGATTTGATTATGAATAAAAAAATAATTTATCAACACACTTAAAAGATAACAGTCACATTTGTATTCCTTATAATTAAACATGTTTTAAACTAAAATTAGAATATTTATACATTGAATGCATGTATAATCGTTATTCCATGCTTACCAAAGATTCAAACATGCAATTGTTACATGTATTTTTTATTTCTAAGGCAAGGAATGTAAACATACATAGTGAATCTAGTTCACAGACAGAGCTGTACAAACTGTTTGCTAACTAAAATGTATATGCTGACTCCAGAATAGACAGTAGTTTATAAATATGGTTTTTAATAAGATACTGTGTGCGAAAATGTTATAAACTGAATATATATATTAAAAGAGTATTTCCCAGTGCTTTTGAATATGCTGCAGGAACAGTATGAAGCCGATACTTAACATCTATTTTCCTTGAGCAACTCCTTTACACAAAATAACTCCCCCTTCGTCCAACAACAATACAGGCCAAACAACAAAATCTATTTTCTTTCCAGCTTTTGTATATTGTTTATATCTTCTAGTATCAAAGTTGGACCCTGGCTTGGCGCACGTATCAATAACAACAGGTGGAGTTTGTACGTGCATTAACCAACACAGCTCTATACAACGGGTCGTATAACTTCGCAACTTTTTTTGACCAAACCAGTCCTTATGTGCCGATTCTATTTGCTATGAAAATATAAAGTAAAATATACTATTAATTAAAATTTATACTTTTAATAAATTGTTCATGTATTATACAATAAATTCAATTCGTATCTTTTTTTTTATTTCAAATTTTAATGAGTTGAAGAGCATTTGTTGAAGTAAAGTATTAATTGTATTATGAAAGAACTAAATTTTTAATATAAAATAAGATTAAAGATCAAAAAGGCAAGGCGACGTTCACAGAACGCAGCCTCCGACAAAATGCAGAAACGGCGTATTTTTGCAGCATGTTTACATGCATTTATTTGATTGATGTATATGAATCTTGAATAAAAATATTTGAAACAATAATGTTAAGTACTATATCATTTGCTTAAAACGCACATACCGAAATCACACCATCAACGGATATATCTGCAGTCTGCTTACGAAGTTCTGATAAAGCCTTTGACTGAACCGCTGAGAAGGAGACAGTGTTTTCCTTTGTGCCCCTTTTCTGGAAAAAAAATACATTTCCGAATTCGTATGTAACTATAATGTAAGTAGGTTATTATGCTGAAAGATATTCTAAAGAAAAATAATTATATACGAAATGAATTCTATAATAAACGCATACAGGCTTAAACATATTGACTTATAAATGTTTGTTCGTTACAGAAACTTAAATGGAATATTTGGTACAGGTGTATAGTGAACGAGAAGCTGATAGATCATGCCTAATCCTTCAATGTGTAGGTGAGGCAAAAGTATTCCTACATTCAGATATTCGGTCAGAATAATGAAGTTTGAATGTAATTTTGTAATTAGAGAAAAACAATTATTATAGATAAATGCATACAGCTTATACAGCTTCCCTTGACAGTTTCGCTTCACTCGAAGATTTCAATAAGTTTAAACCAAGGTTTCCCGGAAAAGATATCCGGATGGAAAAAAATTAACGGATAGACAGAGGCAACCACAAGCATACCTACTGAGGATCATAGTGCACGTTCTGTTTAATAAAACAAAATCACTCTGGAGCTGTGTTTACTTGAAGAAAGATAGTTTATGTAATAATATAATTGTTTAACAATGTGTGCTGAACGGAAAAGGCATCAAAGTGAACAAAAGTGCGAAGAATTAATGAACTGAAGAATGCTTCTTAATATGCACAGCTCCGTAATTGGTAGTAAAGCTTCCAATGAAATTTCGATTACTGTAAGACATTGGTTGCTGTAAATTTATTCTTACATAAATGTTAAAGCGTTCAAGAGCATAACTTTGTAAAAAAACTACTTTACTAGAATATGCTACTTATATGCACACTTCATTGGTGTAGTTAAAGCTCCGATTTTGACCGTTTTTAGTCTTTCAGAATGAACATGGAAATTCATCCCATCATGTCACCTGAGTACGTGTAAAGGCAAGTGACACTACCGTAAGAGAGCCTTATAAACAAAATAAATGATTTCAATACATCAAAACCATTTATTTATTTATTGTGTGAAGATTATTTATCACCAGGAACTTGTACATATATCAATACCAGAACAACAATTATTTTTACCTGTTTTGATGCTTGTCCATTTTCTATATTATCGGCAGGATAACACACAGCATTCTTCAAATTCCGTTGATGATTCTTAGATATGTTTCCACAAATGTCATAACAATTCTGTTAAGATGAAAATAGACAACACAACATACTTTCAATTTAGTGTACAAGGAAATCAAAGCAATACGAAAAAATAAAGATATTTTAATCTGACGCAAGATATGCTGCATGAGAAAATCATATTACTTGTTGTTTCTCTACCTTTATTAAGTTTGTTTTTAACATCAACAACAATTTAATTTAAAATATTAGTTTTGTTTTAATGATGCTGTTTACAATTAACGTGTATGTAACACATTGCTTACCCCGCAGCAGTGCAATTTAAGATTTGGATTTTTTTTATTCACGTATATGCTTCAGGTTAAATTTTAAGGCCTTCGAAAAAATTAAATTTTACTTTTTCTATAGTGTTTAAATAATTGTTAAGAGAATGATAGATGTGTGCAATAACTTGTCATAAAAGTAGCAAAATATAAACACAGTAGTAATTTGACTTCCATACAAAATTCTAATTCATTTTAACTGTACTGGTTACCAAAAAGCAACAGATCAAGTAGTAGGCCAATGAGTAACTTTTTGAATACTTAAAAAGAGTACACAAAATTAAAAAGCTTTTGAGAAATTAAAAACTAAATGAATGCATTTCTCGGGCATAGTTGGCCTTTAATACGCCTCTTACTACGATAATTTTCACCAAAAAATCTGTGTTTTCTTGATCTTTATTTTTCAATGTTTCGAATGCATCTGTCCAAGGGGTGTCATACAATTCTGAATACTGTTCAGCTATTATGGTTGGACGATTTGGATCACTTAGATCTGCAATATTTGGACTGTTGTCCGTCAGACGTGCTCCAGCGACCTTTGATAATCTAATAACAGATTTAATATTGTTAAGATAAAAAATAAATAGATCAATAAGAATGTTACACATTTTACTTAAAATAAAATTTGTACATTAACAGTATAACAATATTATCAGCAAAAACCCGTTTTGACATAAGCTCCACATTATGAAGTTCAAATTTATAATGCACACAAGGGCAACATTACCACAAAATTCGACCGTCAAAATAGCTTTTGACAGAGATGTGGTATTTATAGAAGGAAAACATCTAAGCAATATCCGGAAAATATCTGGAAATTTCATCATCTCCTGTGACCTAGGCATTGCAAATATAAACCTAAATACATGTATCACACTTGTAGTCATGATAGTTATCATTTGTGTTACAATCCATCAATAAGTGATGACTATATAGTCCCCGTACGCAGACTTTGACCTCTCTATGTGACCTTAATTTTGGTAACAGGGGCCTGGATTATATGCACTATAAGCCCCACAATTGTGACATTTTTGTGCCAAATTACATTAATATCCCCCGATAAATATAGAAGTTCGGCTTCGAACAAGCTATTTTCAATGACCTCTAAGTGTGATCTTAACATTTAACCTAGCGACCTTGTTCATGCACTTGACATTGCTTCTCAAAGTGGTGAACATTTCTATGAAGTTTCATTAAAAGCTCAACATGAGTCGAAGAGATATGCTCTGGACATTATTGCTATATTTTTATCATCTTCTTTGTATTAAATTTTTATCATCTTTAGTGATGTTGACCTTGCATATATTTACCTAAATTACATGTTTCAAACCAGATAAGATAATGACCATTTGTGTTGAATAGCAAATTTTCAATAAATATTATTTGTCATGAGTTAACGAACGAAATCAAAATACGATTTGGAATTGACACTGGTACTGCAAAATAAAATATTGATTTTCTCTCCCCCAAAAGTTTGCAAAATGAGCATTTCATGTTAAAGTAATATTTTTAAACTGATTCAAAAATTCAAACTCGCTAAACATCAGTTACATACAACTATATCTAAGAACATTACTGCTGCGCCTCCGAAATGTCGGAAGAAATCAGATTATTATGCATGTTAAAATACTGTGAATGTCTGACCATAGTGAAAAAAGCTTACTCGTTGAATTCAGATAGACGTATTTGCGAATCTGAAACGTATTTCTTGATCCCTGCTAAAGCTTTTCCGATTTCATCTCCCCCTGAGTTAACTTTGCCGGATGTAGGCCTAATCATTGCCCACATGTCTTTAATCATTTGGTCTTGACTTTGTTTCTCTTTCTGCGCGACATCCTCTTTGTCATGTCCACTGTATAATATTGGCAAGAGGTATATTTATGATCTTCAAAAACATAACATCTTGAATAATATAGTTTTCAAATAAAATGCCTATATTCCTGGTACAGCAACTCAATAAAGATCAAAGTTTGCCCGTACAAGAAAGTAAAAAACGTCAGAAGATATATACTTCACGAAGTATTTGAACTGAGCGTTATTGAAATTTAAAGGAAAGCAAAAAGATCCATTTTCACATCCTAACAGGAAAGATAATTTATTTAAATATGAAAAAATACATTGAGGAGAGAAGTTGTTTTTTCTGACATCATATGACTGGTCTTTTGGCACATGTTTGTCATTATTCACTCAGTCCTACAACTTTCGTGATTATGTTATCGTGCTGTATTATACTCAATAAACTCCGAATCAGGAAATATTTTCTATAATATAGCATGCTATGCTGTTCAAATTATATTATTAAACGTTATTATCAAAAACGCAATTCGCCGTTTAATGCATGAACATTCGTTCTTTGAGATATGAAAATGACTAAAGAAACGAAGTATTAAGCTTTACTATTAAACATATACAGACTCAAAAAAGTTACTATAAAGTGAGTTATGGAACACAATTTGTATGATTATATGAGATAAAATATTACTGACTTTTCGTATTACCTTTTAAAATCAAGTTTTCTTTCGTGAAGCTTCCAGCGACTTTCACGGAGAGCTTCGACCACTTTGCATGTATTTACTTTTTCTTTCCTGGGGGGTTTGATATCATCCCATGCTTTAATTTCCTCCAGTAATGACGCTACTTCTGTTTCAATACTTAAAGCAAGATTGGACATGGTACGATAAAAATTAATTCAAATGACATGAAAATATTCCTTTTCATGCCTTCCATACCATAGATGAAATAGTAAGAGATGAAATGCTTAAAATTCGAAACATTGGAAAATTAAAAGATTGAAGAAAAAGGCATGGCGTTTTTTGAAGGCAAAAACGTCTTAAGTACTTTTTGCTAACCGAAGTGGTCGTAGCATTTTTATGTGATCTTTGGCATTCATCCACATTTATATAAAATATCTTAAAACAATTACCCCCTCTCAAGCCGTGTTATAGGCGTGAGAAATGTGCCCACTGTTTTTATATCCTAATGAAACAAGACTCAAACAATCGAGTCTTGCGAGTTTCAATGAACATTGAAATTTTATTTGCTTCCGATAGATCTCCCTTTTCCAATAATCTGGTAATGACCATTTTAAATACCATTCTGCCAGTTTTGATAAAGTTACCTTATAAACATTGTACGTACTTTACAGCAATAAGTGATCTTATTCAGACATAACTGAATTTATTATAAATTTTAAAGTTCCATTTTTATCATACCGAATAAATGATTGGAATTGTTACAAAAAGATAATTATGTTGGTAAGATATATAGCACATTGTCTTACATGTATTTGAAGATCTTCTTCCATTTGTAGGGCAATCGATGAAGCGAAGCAACGAATATTTCAAAATTTTCTTTCAAATTGACCTTGCAGGCAAAACATAACAATGAATAAATCGTTTTCCGTTTACACATTTTGAAAAATAAAACAAGTTTAGTTAAAGACCGCAATGTGTTACAGGATATAAAATATTACTGACTTACAGTTTTACCTTTTAAATTCAAGTATTCTTTCGCGAAGCTTCAAGCGACTATCACGGATGGCTTCGACCACTTTACATGCATTTCCGTTTGCTTCTTTGAGAGGTATGGTATCTTCCCATGCTTTAATTTCCTCCAGTAATGATGCTACTTCTGTTTCTATACTTAAAGCAAGATTGAAAATGGTACAGCACAATGTCTTACATGTATCTGAAGGTGTTCTTTCATTTGTTGGGCGCACATTAACCTGAATCAATTCTGATGAAGCGAAGCCAAACGAGTCTCTGATAATATTATCAACTATTTATTTTCTTGCGTGAATATTTCCAAAAATAATTCTTTCACACGTCCCAACCTTGCAGGCAAAACCTAACAATACAGTAAATCCGTTTTTTCATCATGACCTCGGTGTTTTACAGCTACTCTGTGTTCTTGCGTTTTAACAAAGCAACAATTTTTACGAATGACGGCAATTAAAAGATCGCAAAATTCGCGTTTCTATGACCGCAAGTCAGTAATATGCCTTACATGCTTTAGGTTAGATGCAAATTTTCATAAAGTTATTCTTGCTATTTACTCTAGCGCCAGTGCCCTCGCGCAATCTATTGTTTGAGTATCCGAATGCACATTGAAACTTTATTTCAGTACTTGTGTGTATATATAAATCTGGTAAGCTATCCTGATGTAGTTATCCGGCACAAAACGAATTATATAGCCGTTCTAGCGAACTCAGGTCAGTATCCTAGGATTAAGGGACAGGTACGGTCTGAGGTAAACATGGATTTGAACATTGGATAAGTCGCATTTTCTACACAAGGCGCACATGCACAATCACAAAAGATCGGGCTTTAGTCGAGAACACTCATCATACACCAATATTGATCTACATCTTCTAGCCTTTATAGTTGCCGAAAAAGAAAGTTTCTGCAATAAACAGACATCTGACAGGTTAAATGTTTTAATGTAAATGAGCCTTGGTTTTTCATTAAAGGATTTTTCGTTTGCAATTGCAAAAGTGAGAAATTTAAGTTAACATGTGAAATCAAACAGTACCTTTGGCATTTACTTCTTCTTTGAATGATGGTGCAAATTTCCTTTAAAATGACAGAAAGCTTTGCTGACTCTAAATTTCCATTAGGTTTCTTATCAAATGCCTTGTCATTGTATTCATCTTTCTCAATTTGCTGTTTCAGCTCATTCAGCCACATTTTTATTTCTCGTTTTGAAAAAGAAACAAATCAAACCCATCAACATTATGTACTTTTTCAAATATTAGTGGGCCATTAATAAAACGTATTAAAGGTTACA